TTTTTTTTTTTTTTTTTTTTTTTTTTTTTTTTTTTTTTTTTTACGGGGCCACCCCAGAGGCAGTGTGCCTATAGGAGCAACCATTATACTTATTTTTTAATTTTACCAATCCCAGGTGGGAGGGGGATGAGGGCTGAAAAATTATTACCTGTTGGGTACAATGTTAACTATTCAGATGATGCGTACACTAAACGCCCAGACTTCCATCTCTACATAGTATATGCATGTTAAAAAGTCTGCGCTTGCCGGGCGCGGTGGCTCAAGCCTGTAATCCCAGCACTTTGGGAGGCCGAGGCGGGTGGATCACGAGGTTAAGAGATCGAGACCATCCTGGTCAAAATGGTGAAACCCCGTCTCTACTAAAAATACAAAAAATCAGCTGGGCATGGTGGCGCGTGCCTGTAATCCCAGCTACTCAGGAGGCTGAGGCAGGAGAATTGCCTGAACCCAGGAGGCGGAGGTTGCGGTGAGCCGAGATCGCGCCATTGCACTCCAGCCTGGGTAACATGAGAGAAACTCTGTCTCAAAAAAAAAAAAAAAAGTCTGCGCTTGAGGCCGGGCGCGGTGGCTGACACCTGTAATCCCAGCACTTTGGGTGACTTAGGTGGGCGGATCACGTGAGGTCAGGAGTTCAAGACCAGCCTGACCAGCATGGCGAAACCCCAATCTCTACTAAAAATACAAAACCTACCCGGGTGTGGTGGCGCATGCCTGTAATCCCAGCTACTCCGAGACTGAGGCAGGAGAATCGCTTGAATCTGGAGACGGAGGTTGCAGTGAGCCGAGATCGCACCACTGCACTCCAGTCTGGGCAACAGAGCTAGACTCCGTCTAAAAAAAATTAAAATGTCTGTAAAAATAAAATAAAGTTGCCAACAAAAAAATATTTTATTAATTCCTCCCTTAGAAGTTACAATAAACTTCAGGTGTAGTTAAAAGAAAAAAAATAAAAAGTTAACAATAAACATCTTCAAAAAAAAAAAAGTCAAAATAGTGGATATACTCGGAAGAGCTCTGTGGAGTTTAGGAAACTACATTACCCAGAGCGGAGATCGCTAAATGGCGGCGAAGTTGAACCAATGAGAGACCAGGGTAGGCGCACTTCCGCGCATGCGCAGGACGACAGAGCGGTACTTCCTGCGTTCTCCTCGCGGTGGTTATTTTGGCTTCTCTCCTGTCTGTCCATCCCAACAGAACCTCCGCAGCTGGGGTCGCGACTGAGACACTGTACAGAGAAGGCGCCAAAGTGGGTCTGAGGCTCCTCGACGCCACCCGGGGTGAGCTGTGCCAGGCCCGGGATAGGGACCTCTGTGTTCGAATGCCCGCCCCGGTCGCCCGCCGCTCCTCGCCTAGTCCACCGAGTTCAATGGCGGCATTCGCGCTGAGGGACCCGGCTCGGGTGAGTGCTGCGTCTTTGGGTCTCGCCTGCCCTCTGCCAACACAAGCCCGAAGACCCAACGAGGGGCGTCTGCTCACAGCCCTGCAGCCTAGGCCGCAGTGCCTGTGAAAGGAAGGCGCTTGTGGGTGGGGCCCGTTTATGACGCCCGGTGTGTAGGGAAACGTGACGGGCAAGGGCAGTGGCGCGTGCAGAGCTTGGGGTTGCTGCTAAGCTGGGGGGATTCAGGAGCCTGGGACCCATCTCATTTCTGCAGGAACATGGAGTGAGGCAGAATTGCACCTAAGGAATTTGACCGTTCTGAGGAAACTGGCAGCCTTGAACATTTGTGAACACATAGGGACACTGGGCTAGGATTTCCTAAAGCTTTCCAAACGTTGCTCAAGGGAAGAACAGGCTGAAGAGAGGTGATAGTAGTTAGACATAGGAAGATTGAGTTCTTGTCCAAGCTCA